ACGGGTGAGCCTTTCAATGATCAGTTTATCACCGGCATCGAGCTTGATGCCAGGCTCTCTATAGATGCATTCGGTGTCTAGGTCCGTACAGAGCTGGCACTTTGGGCGCACCCCATTGCATTTTGTTTTCCGCAGGCGGCATATCTGACACTATTACGCTTGCCATTCTTCATGATCAATGAATATCCATGCAGGGGGAAAGCGGTGGAGGGTGGTATAGAAAATGAAGAGCAAGGAGCAGAGGGAGACAAGCATACAGCTATTGTGGCGCGCCTTCGGGGATATTCGGCCACATCAGAATTGGATCGCTTTTTCTTACTCGGCTGGAAGTCGTCAGAAGCAGTCGCAGCGGTGACTGCATCAAGGTGAATATCTCTGTCTCCTTGGGGAGGAGACATGGCTTCGAACTGAGATACTACAACATGAAGTGGATGCGAAGCAGAAACAGTCGGTCTTCTGATTGCAGGTACATCCTACATGGCAGTCTTCAACGTCCGCTGTCTGTTAGTTCTTCATCAGTATGTGTGGGGGACGAGTGAAGTAAGCAGCAGTTGGATTACCATAACCCACGGAATTTGATGCAAGATAAATGGTGGAGTGTCTCATAGCTGCATTGGGCGACAATTAGGATTGAAGTTCATCTGAGCACTTAATCATCATAATACTGGGGTAAAATCAGTTCAGTCGCTAGGCTAGAAAGTATTACGGGATACTAGTAGGCAGATTCTAATTAAATCGACTGATCAGTCAGGGTTTAAAGGCGGGGAACAGTGCTTTCTAGCTAATAGGGATTGGCCGATTAAATTCTTCGCATCCTCATGGTTAAAATACAGGATAAGCCGGTTGTGTCGGCTATTACTACTTTCTTGAAACATGGGTAATTTCTTTTTATCTCAGCAAGCTCAGACCTTTTACGAGGTCTTAGGAGCGTTAGGCAGTTAGCTACCTAATACTAGTCCAAGTTTCCTCGAGAAGTGGCCCCCATGAATTGCCTAAACTGCTCGAATTATTAAACCACTTGAACAACTTGAACAATTTGCATTACTTGATTGCTTTATATTATACGCCCTATAGAGATTAGGTGGGTAGGAATATAGTGATGGCTGAACATGGGATTTTATCAGTGAAGCGAGGGATTATGGTATGTGGTATATAATACGATATGTATTTTAAATCATAAATTGCAGTCCCTAACATGTTTGTGAAAGAAGAGAAAAAAAGAAAAAAGAACTAGAGCCCCAAACATATCTCCGGGCGTCCGGAGTAGGATCTATACCATGTACCAAGTATAAATTATGCGTATACAGCAGTGGAGGCAGCACGTGCGGGACGTGTTTGTTTCTTACTAACGACGCGACTTTGAGGGTTACATACAACCACCATCCGATAACAGGTTCGCTCGCTTTCTGTACACCGTTTACAATATTTCGAGGTTGACATATCTACGCAACATATTGGAAGGAGATAAGAAGAAGAAGAAGAAAAAGAAAAAGAAAACGAAAACGACGCCCTACAAGATTGATGCTACGGGAAAATCTGTAAAGAGGAACTGAAACTCCTACAAGCATGCCTCGTCCACCTACAAAACGCAATCGCCTGGCCACAACAAAGGCTGTGTCCGCAATGTCGAAGAAAAAGGCGGAGCCACGTATCGAGTGTGACGTGAGCGCATCGAATACTTCCAGGCCAGCAGCGCCCGATAACCGAGACGAGGGGAGTTCTTCACAGTTGGTATTCAGTGCACAACAGGCGAACACTATACGGCATTTAAGAAATCAAACGCCACTGGCTAGAAACAATGAACAGGCGATCGAATCTTCCCCAATGGGGGAACGAGGCGCTACAGATAGCCGGCCACCCACCAGGTCTCGGGGGTACTCGTCCACCCTCTCCATGGCTGGGCGAAAAGTTGATTTGAGTTCAAAAATACCAGGGACGCCTGCTTTCGAGAGCTCAATATTGAGTAATTTTAGGCGGCGACCTCGGCAGGCGAGCATTTTACAAATGATGCAAGCAGAGGATGGATCGTCTGACCTGGACGATGATGACTTTTTGGGTGGTTTGAGCCCCGAAGACGAGTCCACACCCCTAAATCTTCCCCGAGGAAAATCGCTTCTCATTAGACAAGCCGTATCCCCATCTCCATCCCAGCCTTCATTGCCTTCTAGTGTGGAGTCACGCAAGCGGAAACGGTCTATCGAAGAATGTCAGGTCCATCAGTCGCGTCCAGCCGTAGCGGAGAATACTCGCAGAGAAGAGTCACCTCATACAGGGAACGAGGACTCCCTGAAACTAACTCAACCATTGCGGTCTTTAGAAACGTTCAGCCAGACTATGGCACCGCCTCTAAGCAGCAGTCCCATTTCGAGTCCCGTTCTCCCAGCCTCCACATTAGACTCAGCGCGACCGTTGAATTTTACTAAAGGCACAAAGGTACACCCAGACGCCTCTAATGAGGCGACTACCATCCCCACGGCAACGTTACAAGACCGACTCCTCCCTCGGCGTCGCCAACGGTACCGCGAGCGCGAACGCCGCAACGTGGTTGGGTTAGAATTTCCAGGCGGCTCGAGTGAAGATGATGCTTCTGCTGGAGAACAGGATAATGATGAATTGAATCACTCGCACAGAAGAAGGCGAGTTGCCAAGTTGAAGCTGAAACCTTACTCCAAATCCCGGCGGGGAGTTGAACAAAAGGCTGGAATAGTGGTCAATAAGGGTAATGGCCTAAAGAATTCTGCGGGGATTACGAAAGCCCTGAATCCAGTCCCCGAGAATCATCATGAAACCAGACCTTTCACCAGGCCTCATGCACAAAAAGTCACCGGCGAAGAAAACCAGCTGACCGACATGTCGTCACCCTTGTCTCCACCACCTGATTCAGATGCATTGGAGTCCGTCTCACTGTCAGAGTTGCCGCCGCCGGTCGATTTCCTCAGCGAAGAGCTGAGGCGGCAAGCGAAGAAATTTGCTGAGGTTGATGAATGGGAAATGGAATTTGAGGATGTCCCTGGTAGCCAAGGCAGTGCATTGGAGTAGATAATTCCCTACGCATCACTTTAGTTGCGATAGTTAACTATGATATCAATGCCGTTGCCGCCAGTTGAACCCAAGCCGAATGACTTGGCCTTTACCCGATGATAAGCGGATGTCGCGCGAAGTAAGCCCCGCAAGCGAAATAATAAAACCCCACCTGAGCGAGTCGCTAAGTTCATCCGCCTTGAAAGTTCTTTGCAGGCTAGATTGTTCTACACCTGCTCCGTTATTTTTGAGAGACCTAGCGCAGGTTCCGTTGATTTGCGAAGTGTACAGTCATGGCCACTGTGGATGATATACTGGCAGGCAAATATCCTGCCAAAGCCCATGCGCGCCAGGTTGCGCAGCTTCTCCAGGCCCATCACGGACATGGTACCCCTGGAGTGATTTACTTGGAAGCCCAGAAAACTCGTCTTATAGAGGATAATGACGAACCGATGCCATTCAGGTAATGTTCATTCGCCTTTTTCTCTCTGAACCGTTGCTCCATAGGCTTAGTAACTCACTAGCCCCGGCCTCCAGGCAACGGCGTTTCTTTTACTACTTATCAGGGTGCTCGCTTCCAGATTCGTACTTGATCTACGACATTAACGCTGACAAGCTCACTCTGTTCATACCTCCTATTGATGCGGAAGAGGTAATCTGGTCAGGGCTTCCCCTCTCCGCGGATGAGGCTATGAAGCTTTACGATGTTGACTGTGTGCTTGCGACGACTGAAGTTAATGCCACTCTTCGTTCTATTGGCTCAGCATATGGTGGCAATGCTATAGCTTTCGCGATCGCTGGTCAGGTCTCTAGCGGAGCAGAATTCCAAGAATTTGCGGAAGCCAACCTTTCCATTCTGAAGAAAGCTATTGAAAATGCGCGCGTTGTGAAAGACGGATATGAGATCGCTCTTCTGCGAAAGGCTAATGATATATCTGCCAAGGCACATGTTGCTGCCATAAGAGCTTCAAAGACTGCGGCAAACGAGCGTGAGATTGAGGGCGCGTTTATAGCGACGTGTATCGCTCATGGTGCTCGTGAGCAATCTTATCACCCTATCGTTGCTTGCGGTGCAAACGGTGCCACCCTTCACTATGGCAAGAATGATGATGACCTGACGGACCCTGCAACGAAGCAAAGGAAGAACAACATTCTCATTGACGCTGGAGGCGAGTACCGTGCATATTGCTCGGATATAACGCGTGTGTTCCCTTTAGGTGGGAGATTCACAAAAGAAACCCGGCAGATTTATGAGATCGTCCTACAAATGCAGATGGAATGCATTGCAATGCTTAAAGGAGATGTGCAATGGGAGGATGTGCATGCGCATGCGCACCGTGTTGCCATCAAGGGTTTGCTCGATTTGGGGATTCTAAGTGGCTCCGAGGATGAATTGTTTGAGAAGAGAATCAGCGTAGCTTTTTTCCCTCATGGTCTCGGGCACTATCTTGGAATGGATACGCATGACACTGGGGGCAATCCAAACTATGAGGACAAGGATACCATGTTTAAATACCTCCGTGTCAGAGGGCGTCTACCTGCAGGCTCCGTTATCACTGTTGAACCAGGGGTAAGTTTATGCAGCCTGTTCAACTATTATATCATGCTCCGATGCACTAAATTCCGTGTTCTTTTAGATCTACTTCTGCCGCTTTATTATCGATCCCTATACTCAATCTCCAGAGCTGGGAAAGTACATCAATACCACTGTCCTGGAGCGGTATTGGACGGTAGGAGGCGTACGGATCGAAGATAATATTCACATCACCAAAGATGGCCACGAAAATTTGACCACAGCGCCGAAAACCATAGAGGAGATGGAAAACTTGGCATTGTAGGTAATATCGTCATCACGAAAGATACAGTGCCGATACGTACTTATGTCGGCCCTGAATCATATTGAAATACGTTCTCTTCTAGAAGTATCTATGTCAGAGATATTAGCCCCACAGCTGTACTTGCATTTCATGCTATCCGGCTCCACCCTAACTACTAGCTAGAAGTCATTCAACTAGTGGAATTGTTGTGTTGATTTGAGTACAAGTTATATGCAGGATCATGGTATAATTGCGTTTCCCGAAAAGAAAAAGAACAGCAAAAAGAGAGGATGTAGAAAATGCGAACTCCGCCTGGGGTAATAACATTTATAAACCAGGTTGTCAGACAGCAAGCGCCCTTAATTGAAGATGATTACAGTGCCCAGCTACAGACCACTCCTGAGTCGTTTTCTCCCACTTCCCTTAATAGCAGACTCAGATTCAGCTTTATCTTGAGCGCGCTTTTCTTTATGGTCAAGTACCATGCTGAATACATCAAAGCAGAACTCGGGAACCTCAAGGCATAGCTTCCTGAATTCCTCTTCAGCTTCATGCCGTAAAACATGGCTTCTTAAAGCCCAGAAAGATGCTACGGGTCTCCGAATCGCAACATCGTTAGCTGGGGTATACGTATATACGTATCGAGCATACGCAATCTCACCGTGTGAAGTGCTGTTCACACGGTGAATCTTTGAGTGGGCCAAGGTCTTCAGTGCTGGTATCCCGAGTTTTTCTGCCAAGGTGTAAACGCGTGCGTGTTTCAGTAGTTGCTCACCACTATTATCGATTTCTCCCACAGCAGCGTCTTTGTCATTCGAGGCATCCGCTAGAGAGCTGTCATAGTTGCCGGTATATTGGAACTGGAGGAAAGAGCCAAAGGCCTCTACATCTTCGTCGGGAAGCTCAATGCGGCGCTTTAGAATATTAGTATCAGGGTGAGAATCTTCTAACGCTTTAGACTTAACCCACAGGCCCCGAGCCATCAAATACTGCGACTCTCTCAGCAAGGAAGGGCGATTCCAGAAGTAGTCTTTGGTGAGCTGTTAGAGTGGTGTTGGTTTCTCCTTTTCCTATAGTAAGTTCCACAATAGGCGACGTCAAGTATCTAAACGGAGTAAGCTGAAGGTCGTTAAACAGCGAAGAATGGCAATGTTGCGCCATCGGATGTAATATGGTAGCCGTACTCAAGAAACTGAAGACCAGGGTTTCTTTTAAGAGGCGCCACTTCGTCCGTGGATATCTGTTCCAGCTCTGTTGCACTTGGTAGGGGTACATCATGTCCCGTAGCATCATTCATTGGTGTTACGTGTTGACTCGAATCCATGTCCACGTCGCGCATTTCCGCTTTTTGCGCGTTTCCGGGACCATGAGAGCCATCAAGCCCGGAAATCTGCACTTCAGGGATATCCATTGGCAGACTAGGTAGTCAAAAGAGAATGAATAAGGGTGTCGAAGGAAGGGATGGATGTTGAAGAACCGATAATTCAAGGAGAGAAGGCCCGTCAGAATGATGTAGGGAAGTATTGGTTAATAGAACTTTAAATGCTTCTGTTAATGATTAAAACTATAAGAGGTTGATTGGAAGAGATAACTCGATAATATTGTACATGAAGATCGACGCGTCAATTAATATACAAGGTTCAAACAATGTAACGTGTTGTAAAAAAGCGGAAGGACTTCACCTGGTTGTACAGTATTAGTACATATGCCAGTAATAATACCATAACTGGTCCTTGTACCTATTTTGCAGGTCAATAGATTAAGTGAAATAATCGAACGCCATGAAAGAAGAGAAGAAGAAGAAGAAGAAGAAGAAGAAGAAGAAGCGAATGAAGAGAAGAGAAGAGAAGGAAAGGAAACCAGTAGAATACATTGGATATCTTTTACCATGAGTTCGAGTGCTAGCAGACATCTAAGTTGTTTTCCAATTTTCAAATTGTCAACAAGCCATCATGGTATGGTAATTACTAAGCAGAGCTATACTAAGGTAGTGGTAATAGTAGTAGTACTGGTACCTAGTTAGCATATATATATCTTAAGCTTCTTGAGAAAAACATCCCTTCTATGTATAGGCACCTAACTGTACGTAAGTATGTAGCCAAGGACGTACGTTATGTACATACATACATATATGCATGTGCATACACACACACACACCTACTGTGTATAATCCACCAGAGGTATGTTTATGTAATGGCAATAGATGTTCCCCACGCTACTCCGTACTAAAGAATCCTTGCCCATGACCTGAAATTAAATCGGTGTCGCCCATTAATTTCAATTATCACGCACTCAGAAATTCGGGGAAGGGCTTATGATCCGTATTCCTTTATCTCAGCACTGGAAACCTAGGCTCCCTCGAGGTTCTGTTATTTACAGCTGCTATCTCATACCGTTCTCTGAAGGTACCATACGAATCCCCTGGATCGCCCAGGCTTCGAGACGTAGCATGGCAACTGTTATTCACCCACCCCGGGATCCCAACACCCTGAGCAACTATAATAATTGGGTATCTACCCATATAACCGCAAATTTCGATATCTTATTTGAACAGAAGAAGCTTGTTGGGAATGTTGTTCATAAGCTCAGGTCCATCACCGATGCAAGATCTACGGAAATCATCTTGGATACGAACCACGTGGATATCGGTGATGTGAGAGTCGACGGCCAAGCTTCTCACTGGGAGCTCCTTCCCCCACTGGAGCCATATGGTGCTGCATTGAAGATTAAGCTTGACCAGGCCGTGGGGTTGAACGATATGGTCGAGGTTGATGTAAATTGTCCACCAGCTTGCGTATTGTCTTCCATGTGAATCTAACTTGGAGCATCTAGATCTCGGTTAAGACGACCGAAAAGTGCACTGCCCTTCAGTGGCTGACTCCAGCCCAAACTTCTAATAGGAAACACCCATATATGTGTAAGCTAGCCTTTGCTGTCCTGAAATCAGGAGAAAGCTCAATGAACTTCCTGGTGTTTCTAATTTGTTACCCTCATATAGTTTCTCAATGCCAGGCTATCCATGCACGGTCAATTTTCCCGTGTCAGGATACACCAGATGTCAAGTCTACTATTGACTTCAATATTACTTCACCTCTCCCTGTGGTTGCCAGTGGATTACCGGTTCGAGACATCATAGAAAAAGCCCAACCAGGCAGTAAAACTCTGTACCAGTTTCACCAGAAACTGCCTATCCCAAGTTATCTGTTCGCGTTAGCTAGTGGGTATGGAGATTCAAAATACCTATTTGCTTGGTTTATAAACTAACTACCCAATAACAGTGATATCTCGGAAGCTGCAATTGGGCCCCGGAGTGTTGTTGCAACTAGCCCTGACAAACTTAGTGAATGCCAGTGGGAGCTTGAAGCGGATACTGAAAACTTCATAAATGCAATTGAGGTTCGCCAGGCTTTAAGATATAAGGATATTATTTTCAGACCCTGACCTAAATGCAGAAAATCGTCTATCCTTATGCTTGGGGCGAGTATAATGTCCTGATTCTTCCCCCTAGCTTTCCATATGGAGGCATGGAAAACCCAATTTTCACCTTCGCAACTCCCAGCATTATCTCAAAGGTATTTACCGGAGTATACCAGAGTGTCAACTGTCGGTGATTTCCTAACACGAGTTACCAGGATCGGGAAAATGTCGATGTTATTGCTCACGAACTCGCTCATAGCTGGAGTGGTAATCTTGTCACCAATGCTTCATGGGAACACTTCTGGTTGAACGAAGGCTGGACTACTTACCTTGAGAGACGTGTCAGTTTGTTTGCCCCTCAAGCCTTGTCAATCCACTTGATACTACTGACAAATATACACATACTGACCATGTAAAAGATCCTAGCTGCGGTGTGAGTTCAAACGTTGGCGTCTTACGGATTAAATTGCTGATTTGGCCTGCAGACATGGTGAGGCCTATCGACATTTCTCAGCCATCATTGGTTGGAAATCTCTTGCGGATTCTGTGGAGCATTTTGGACATGACCATCCGTTTACTAAGTTAGTCACTGACCTTAAAGGGAAGGACCCTGATGATGCATTCTCAAGTATTCCGTACGAAAAGGGATTCAATTTCTTATTTCACTTGGAAAATCTGTTGGGGAAGGAAAAGTTTGACCGATTCATACCTCATGTAGGTCCCCATTCCTCTCTAGAACGGCAGCTTGCTAAAAGCTGCTAGTATTTTACGAAGTTCAAAGGAAAGTCTCTCGATTCGTATGAGTTTAAGGCAACCATGCTCGAATTTTTCCAGCATGATCTGGAATCCTCCAACCTCTTGAAAAATGTGGATTGGGATGCGTGGTTCTATGCTCCTGGCTTGCCCCCGAAGCCACAATTCGACACATCCCTCGTTGATGTCGTTTACGAGCTATCTAGCAAATGGAAGTCCCTTCCTGACTCATCCTTTCAACCTCGGACAAGCGATATTGAGGGGCTGACAGCAAACCAAATCGTGGTCCTCTTGGAACAAATTCTTCTGTTCGAGCGGCCGCTTACCCCTGACCTTTCGAGGATTCTGGGTGAAGTCTACGGTCTCGCCAAGAGTGAGAACATTGAAGTCGCCAATCTCTATTTTCAAGTAGGGCTAAGGGCCGGCGACGAGACCGTATACAAACCGACGGCAAGACTATTAGGCAAAATCGGTAGGATGAAATTTGTACGACCTCTGTAAGTATAGCTTGTCTACCACGAATGATTCCCCAAGCTAACCCCATCATGTAGATACCGAAACCTACAAAAGGTTAATCGCCCTCTTGCCATCGAGACATTTGAGAAGAATAAAGATTTCTATCATCCCATCTGTCGCGCGATGGTTGAGAAAGATCTCTTCGGAAAGAGGGAAGAGTAGGTTCAGATCATAACTTAGAAGTAGCCTCTGCTTGATCGTCTGTGCTCCAGTCTACCATGATTGTCATCCCAACAGTTATGCTTGGGTTTGGATTGAGAAGATTCTATTATTGCCCAAGGTGTGTGGTAGCCGCTCTGATGCAGTATAACATAGTCAAAAGCATCACAGCATCTACTTGTATTAGCATGTATTCACCATTTCTATACAATATGCATAGACGCATTATGAAACAGTGTACTATTGCGGACAGTAAAGTTGAATTAGAACAACAGAAGAGAAGCGGGCGAACAAAAGTCTTTACAAACAAGGTCTTCAGCCAATTATCGCTTGCCTTGGACTAATTTCTTATCGAATTCGGAGTATCCGAAAATGCTGGGTTTATCGCCAGTTTGCTGGCATAGTTGGAAGATGAGATCCGCCTCGCTCACCTGAGAAAGCTCTGAAGTTACTCGCCGCATATATGCGACGACCCGAGCTATTTTCGTCCAGTCCAGCTCCTTCCCATCTGGTCCGGTATGGCTTGCTTTCCATAAATTTCTCCAGATAGCGGCACCTAGCACGGCGTCTCCTTTAACAAGGCCCTCATCATAGGCCGCAAGAACACCTCTCCACTGGATGAAGAGGTCCTTGAGAAACTTGTTCCGGATTGTACGACTAGTGAACCCATGTAGGACGTCCATGCGATGCTCAGCATTATGCGAGAAATGGTCAATCAGATGTCGGGAATACGTTTGAAAGCTCTCGTACGACGGTAAGACTCGCAAGCGGACAGTCAGAAGGTACATGTGCAAAAATGTAATCTGAGACCAAGTTGAGAAGGTAGGCATGAGGCCAAGGTCTGTTATTAACCACACGCATTAGTTTTTACTAGCCAAGGTCAGTCAATATTGCGGAAACAAACCTTCATACCACCATCCTTCCCCAACCCCGAGATCTTCACCGGCTTCAGTTTTAGGGACTTGTGCCCCCTTTTGAGATGCCTGTGGTATACTGTAATCCGCCTGGCTAGAGCAGACCTCGAAAAGCTTTTGTGTCATTCCATACGCCACATATGTCTCAGCAGTGGTCCCCGGACGGGGCATGATCACTCGAGATAATTGCGAAGAAGCCCGGCGAATCTGAAAACAAGGACAGGGGGATGCAGCAACTGTCCGCGGGTGACGTTGAGCATAGCGACAGTTTGTGAGGGTCGTGGGAACGGGAACCACTGAGTGGGGAGCGGAATCCCGGTAGGGAGCAGTAGATGTTGTGCATATAGTACGTTGCGACGAGATAGACGATCTAATTGCGGCTACCTGGGAATTTTTAGCTTGTCTGCACGATGACTTCCCGTTCTTTTTTGGGGGGGGGATAGATAGTACTGGAAGCTTTGAGCACCGGGGATAGCAAAGATACCGCAGTCTTGCAGTGTACATATTTTTGGGAGGCATATCTAATAAAGAAAGGCTCAGCGACCAACTGTTACCGACTGATGCGTAGTCGCAGATATGGGCCTGCGGAACGTTCTGCCAATCCCCTGTACAAATGATAACGAAGCTGTGTTTGCATTGTTTGCTGCCAGGTGTAACGGCAACACAGCTCTTCCTGAGTGGATACTGCCCTATTTTACTTGGGCTAGCTAGTATTATACTAGTACCTAGATAATAAATGGTCGAGTCCAACTACACTGGACATGGATCACATTACCGTAGAAAGACGCTATCCATCACCTGATCATAGACATGACAAATGAAATTGTCGGATCTGAGGAAGCTTGAACCGCATGCCTTCATGAAAAGGACCACCAGGGTGCTGACGCCAACCAAAGCAAGCGCACTACCTAATTGCCCAACTCCGATACCAGCGAGTCTGACAATTGATATGTGGTGTTGACAGTCACAGTCTCCTGTAATAAAGGGCTTGCATGGTAAGAGCCGTTGTACAGCAAGACAGCGATGGCCGAGATAGTCAAAAAGCGTTAGGATCATAGTCCCTTTCGCTCTTGTTACGTCCTCTCCAGCGCACCCGATGTGAAAGTGTGCAAGGTCGAGCACATTTAGGATTTTACTGCCATCTTATGGTTGCCTTTTCTAATCTTCTAGAGTGACCCGTTCTAAACGCTTTTCGCGAAGAGGAAGAATCTCCGAAAGCCTATTAGGATCACGCATAACGGCAGGAACATCATCTCTCGTTGCCGCTAGAGTCTGTAAAGCAGTTGTTAGCCTCCTCGGTTTGATAAAGTGTAGCCTCTACCCATCCACTTTGTTCTTGGGAAAAATATATTCCATTGGCGGGAAAGAAATACCTGTCGAACAGTCTCGTAATCTAATTCTTTAGACTGGAACTCTCTGATCACCTCCAAGGTCTCAAAGTCGATATAAATCCTCGTGTCTCTAAGCCGAAATAGAACATTATCGAGTCGTAGGAAGAATCTCGATAATAAAAGCAGCCTGGCTGGCATAACGCGAATTTTGCAGGATAGCATAGTGATGCCGTTATCAGCGAGTTCGTCTTCGTATAATATGACTTCATCGAAAAAGAGTATGGGATCCGGCCGTTTTAATAATTCTAAGGGTATGGATTTTGTCGTTGGTTTAAATGACCGACCATCAGCTTGAACGGTGCCCGTATAGTCTGTGGTGTAGGACCAGTCAAAGGGCTTCACAACCTCCTTGATGCCTTCATGTGTCTTTTCTCTGCTTACTCGTCAATAACTTATCGCTAAGGGGCCCTCACGCAAAAGATCCTCGGTACCTGCTTCTCTGCCATTCCTTTGAGTAAGCGACTTTGAGCATCGATGCGCCAGTTTTGTCCACCCGATCCAAGGCGTCAAACGCGTTGAAAGTTATCCCCCAGCGGCTTTTCTCATGTTGAATCGAGACAAAGTTGTCACCGAAGATCATTTCTGGCGGCGCGATTCCTAATCTTTTGGTCATGTCCTCAATCGGGTCAGCTTTTAGTATCGGCCGCTTTTCTGTAGTGATCTTGAAGCCTTGCACGGAAATGGTGTTAGGTTTTCCAGTAGCGTGGGACACCGCAGCAGGATTCCCCATGGCGAATGCAGGCATGCGGGAGCTCCCAGAAGACATGTTGAATATTGCAAATGAATAGATAGCGGGAACTTGGCTCCAGGGATCCTTATCGACCATTTGCGGAGGATTGATCAACCCCGCGGTGTCGGAGAAAGAGGTAGTCCGAGGCGTTGCTGTGGTGACGTTCTAAGGAGCGTGATGTGATCAACAGAAAAGCCAAGACACTTGATTTAATTTGCTTCAACGTCCTTGTCAACAGCAGCAGCACCAAGTAGACTAGATAATGTCTATGTAAGCTACACAAGTGCTACAAAGCTGCCTTGTTTTTCTATACTTTCCTTATTACCTCCCCATAGACAACGAGCCCCTGACGCTTCGCGACATCTTAGCCATGGCCACCAAGACTTTGGAAAGCCGCTTTGAACATCTTTCGGTCAAGGACGAGAATGTATCAAACAATAGCTGTAGCACCTATGCGAAGAGTAAGGTAAGTACTGCCACTTCGCCGCACAGCGCATAAAGCGTTCACTTACTCATTGGGAATCAGAGCTCTCTGTCAACAGCTGTCTCCCTTTCTGGACTTGGGACCGCGGCACCATTAAGCAATAGCGCCAATCGGTCGAATCTGCTCAAGCTGGCTCTGCAGAATACCAACGACAGCAAGGTCAATTCGATAAATGCTAGTTCATCCCCTGCCAAGGGTGCACTATCGCATCGCAATGTAGATGAGAACGGAGACCAGCGCCACCAAACATCGCTTTATGACCAACCAGCACCGAAGAAGCTACATCTGGGGATGTTTGAAATAGGAAAGCCCTTGGGCAAGGGTAAATTTGGCCGCGTTTATCTAGCCAAAGAACGATCTTCCGGTTTTGTGTGCGCTCTTAAGGTCTTACACAAGTCTGAATTGCAACAGGGTGGGGTGCAAAAGCAGGTCCGAAGGGAGATTGAAATCCAGAGTAACTTACGCCACCCGAATGTTTTAAGACTCTATGGTCACTTCCAAGACAGCAAGCGAATTTTCCTGATCCTTGAATTTGCCGGCCGAGGAGAGCTGTATAAACACCTGAGAAAAGAACATCGATTTCCGGAGTGGAAGGCTGCTCAGTATATTGCCCAGATGGCCGCTGCCCTGAAATACCTGCATAAGAAACATGTCATGCACCGTGATATAAAGCCGGAGAATATTCTCGTCGGAATCCACGGTGAAATCAAGATTAGTGATTTTGGGTGGAGTGTCCATGCGCCCAACAACAGGAGACAGACAATGTGTGGAACGCTTGATTATCTACCACCTGAGATGCTCAAGCCAGGCTCACAGGACAACTACTATAGTGAAAAAGTTGATTTGTGGAGCTTAGGTGTACTGACTTACGAATTTCTGGTCGGAGAGGCTCCTTTCGAGGACACCCCTGTCATGACACAAAGACGGATTGCACGAGCGGACATGACAGTTCCTTCCTTTGTGAGCCCCGAGGCCAAGGACTTAATCAAAAGAGTACGTTCCAACCTCTGGAAGGCAACTGAATGCTACCTCACACGCTTACTCCTCATAGTTACTTGTTCTTGACCCTGAGAAGCGTATTTCGCTAGACGAAATCCAAAAACACCCTTGGATACTCAAGCACTGTCTTAAAGACGACCAAGTTACGAAAAGAAGTTCTGGTTCTTCAAAGGATGGTAAAGCATGAAGCGTTTTCTATGCATTTCAACGGGGTTTTGGAGTTCAGCGAAATTTTTTTAGGCTCTCAACGGAGTCGGCTTTGAGTTGACAGAGTTACTTGTGCTCATTTGCTTTTATGAGGGAGTGTGGGGTATGGTGTTAGTTGTTATTTTCGCTCCGGTTACATCGAACATAATATACATGGAATTTTCGAATAGAGAAATGGAGTAAGTAAACACGTATGAGGGTAGGCTAGAGAGAGAGACCATGGTGTCATCGGTAGATTTCATCGAACGGCCGAGTGTCTCTGAAGCAGCTATCCCACACTTCGTTTACAACCCTCTCGGCGTGAGCTTCATCCTTGCATGCAGGCCTTGCCCGTACCGACAAGATCGCTCTTCTTTTGACACATTCTTGATGCTGTTGTGTGAATCGCCATTGACCTCGTCGAAAGAACTCCCGCGCCCATCTGCATTCTCCACTGAGTGAACTGGCCCGTATCTGAGCTATAGTCAGCAAAATCCCTGTCAAGGACTCCCGGTTTTTGGTACCTCAGTACACGCCGCATGCCTCAAGTTATCTGCCCAGTTAACTTTAAATCTCAAGTGATCATAAGCATGGACCATTTCGTGAGCCATTGTGTCCTCGAGATGTCCTTGGTCTTTCATCTCATTTGCGCAAAGCAGGATCCCAAAGTCCGGGTCAAAGCCTCCCGCTTTCCTGTTCGTACACCGACGGCAATAGATATTGTGGCTAGAGAGGTTGCCTCCGAGTTGTCGAATGTTGTCGCTCAGATAACGGATTACAGGGCCTAAAGCGCGAATATCTTAGTGTCTGTCTATCCGGGCTTCTAGAAGCCGCTCGAAATGGGATATAGATACTCACTCCATTGAAGAAGGTAATCACGCTGATCCTCACAGCGCTTGCAATCTGCGGCTTCATTTCGAATGTCCCTTGCGACACGAAACTGTTCGATACCTTCATCTGACATTTTGCCCGTCAAGATTGCAAAGATATTGCGCCATTGTGTCCATGTGTCATCCCCTGGTTGAAACCCGGTATTATGAGCACTTAGCGGAGGTTCCGAGGTACTAGACGGTTGTGACTCTGACATCTTGGAGGAAGCAAGCATTGAGTCCAATAGTCTCACTATGTCTCACCATGCTGAAGCCCAGCATGCGGAAGAGAGTTTCGCCGACGCTCTCCGCACAAACTGGCGGTAACAATTGGCAATATATATATCAAAAGCATGAATGACTCCGACCCCGGAACTTGCTTGATATGCACAAGACGGGACTTTCAGGAGAGAAAGGTGCTTAAAACCTGGAGGCAACATCTGATTTGGATATAGTGTACGAGAGGCGCTCTTGCATGTTAAGCATTGGCTGTATTAGGGGGCCCAAGCTACCATGGCCTGTCGACGTCTCACAATCGTTATCAAATTAGGTGCGGGGATCAGTCCGGCTTGACAATACACATGTTTCAAAGAATATCAACTCATCCTTTTCCAACAGGGACTAGTTCCATAGTAGATGAAAGAACCCATGAGCCGATACTTTCGATTCTCACTCTGATAGTTGAAGCCGCAGCCAAACTTCGTCGGGATGGCCATAATGTCGTTCTTGTTTCCTCGGGGGCTGTTGGTGTGGGGTTGCGGAGGATGGATGTGGAAGAAAGACCCAAGAATTTGCCTCGCATTCAGGTATGGACGATTACATGGGCCTTCAGTCATGACATTCACTCATACTATTTACCAGGCACTCGCGGCTGTTGGACAATGCAGACTCATGAGCCTCTGGGATGGTTTATTTTCGCACCTTCGTTTACCAGTGGCTCAGATTCTGTTGACTAGGAACGACATAGCAGATGTAAGGCCTAAGTGTTTATAAATGATATGGTAAGCAACATCTAACTTATACCAAGAGAACGCAATATGTCAACGCCCAAAATACCTTCTCACAGCTTTTTGATATGGGCGTGATCCCTATTGTTAATGAAAACGATACTATAGCCGTTTCGGTAAGACCTTAGCCCAGTATTATATTGGTTTAATGGAACCTAATCACAAGTCTTGTCTAGGAAATCAAATTTGGTGATAACGATACATTGTCGGCTATAACAGCCGCCATGGTCAAGGCCGACTACCTTTTTCTGATGACAGATGTTGACTGCCTTTATACTGCTAATCCACGCCACAACCTAAATGCAAAACCCATTGAAGTTGTCTCAGACATATCCTCATTGGAAGCCGATGTGTCCTCAGCTGGATCCTCCCTTGGGACTGGGGGTATGAGTACCAAAATCGTCGCTGCAAAATTAGGAACTAGCGCTGGCGTAACGACGATTATCACCAAGAGCTCGAAACCTGGAAACGTTCATGAGATTGTAAAATATCTCCAGCAGGTTAAGCAAAAAGAACATACATCCACAACACTGAATGACACAGTCACTGAAGTACCCCCACTGCATACACGCTTCCTTCCTTCTGACCATCCGGTTCAATCCAGGACATTCTGGCTGCTCCACGGTCTGAAGCCCCATGGGACCATATTCATTGACCACGGTGCATACAGTGCCCTCCAGAAGAAAGCCAGTCTCCTACCAGCGGGCGTTATCGGTGTGGATGGTCATTTTGCGCAACAGGAGGCAGTACGTCTGGTTGTAGTACAGAGACTCTCCCCTGATTCATTGAATGGCGATTTTCTCCATCACGGCCAGGAACCCAAAGAGGTTGGGCGTGCACTGGTCAACTACGGCAGCCTCGAAATCGAGCGCATAAAAGGGCACAGGAGTACTCAGATCCAGACTTTGCTTGGATACGCAGATAGTGAATATGTCGCTCTTCGAGAAAATATCTCCTTCTTTCAACAGGACGATTCTCCATTGCGGTAGCCAACCGTTGGTTTAGGTAAATGAAATAAATGCTTTGCCTAGCTTTCATACTACGTCTTACTCTGCATGTTGTGCCATGAAGAGCGACTTTGCTATCCTAGGACAATATTATGATACCTAAATTTCTTTCAATATTTATGCTTACAACAACGCTGCATGTAGATGAGCACCGAGCTTCCATGAGCACTGCAGTTCTCAGATATCATAGAAAAACCGTGTTCAATCAACTCAAACCCAAACAATTAAATACAAGCCAGGCAGCTGTCTGAACGCCACAGGGAAGCCGACCAAACCCAAATGCAAAATCACATGAAAACTTAAACAGTCGATAACCCAGTCACGCCCTTAATAGCCTGGCCTTGTGACTCCAAATGTACTGCTGATGTTCAGTCCTTCCACCTTTCCAAAAATCTCTTCATGTTCTTATCGTGAGGATGTGGTGCAGGGGATGCCTATACAGCTGGTCAGTTACTGGAACGTCGACCTAAGTTGCGATACATACAGTATTCTCGATACTGGAAACAGAGTACGTTAAAGAAGCCGACACAGTAGTCTGAATTGTAGGTGCAGAAAGGTATGCAGTAGCAATCTCGTATGCACTGGTCGGAAATTGGGGAGTTGGCGACTTATCCGCTGGAATTGTTGACCCAGGCTTTTTAGCCATAGGTGCATATCTTGTAGGCCCGGTCTGCAATTGGTATGGGATTGTATATGCCCCAGCAGCTTGCCTTTTCCGCAGTTCCTGTTGCCCACGGCCTTCGCTAAGCAAGCCAATGCCATCCTCCAGATTCGATGAGAAAGTGCCAGCCATGTCTGTGAGCGTGAAACGATCGGAGAAATTGGTTACATGGGCGTCGGGACCAGATGCAACCATTTTCAGGAAGCTGCAAACAAAAGCCATTGTTAACAAAATGAGCTGGCGAGTTCCGGGGGTAGGCCTTGTTCTTACTATGCGTTTGGTTCGTTGCCGCCAACTGCTGGATCAATCTTGAAAGAAACCGAGTTGCCGCGGGAAAAGACACCGTCTTTAATAAGGATAGCCAGGTTCTCCTGCAACAGTCCCTCGTGGTCAGTGAAAGGTTCACTAGCTTATAGAGACGAGGTTTCGGCTGTTGAACAAACTCACCTGGGACCCCAATGTGTCTCCGCCAGCACAAAGATAAAGGTCGTACTGTACAAGTTCGGAAATGCGAGGAGACTCGCCAGAGTCCTTCCAATGTGCTGTTACTACATCTCCGGCCTTTATTATTGTGCCACGCGCTGGCGCTGTGAACTCGACATCTGCCAGCGCTGTCGAGAATAGAGGGAGGACCACAGGTAACGAGCGTATGAGTCTCATACTGGATACGGACTCCAAATCATTCGACTGTAGCGGTTGAGCGATAGGGAACCATCAAAGGAGCGGCGAAGGAAGGACTGGTAGAAAGAAAGAAAGAAAGAAGGAACGCCCGCTCTTGGTCTCGCGTACTATGATTACCATCAGATCACCAACCCTACCGCCATCCCTGCGAACCGGAGGTATGTGAGATTGGCGAGGTTGGATTGATTGAGTTTCAATGCTCAAGCGGGAGACCTCGTAATGTAATATACATACATGAACTTATATGTATGTGTGTGTGTATATGTGTATATATATTACAGTATCGTACATACGATGATGGTATTATGTAAGTACCCCGTATGTCCTCCGTACTATACTGTACTATACAGACGGTAAACCTGGAATTTAGACACTTACTAGGCGTTTCCATGTGTTTAAGAAGAATCGGGCACAACCATAATATGTACTTATGCAGGCACTGGTAAATTCACTCCAATGGCGGTGGCCTGATGTACGGAATAATGTCTGCAGCAGCCGGGAAACAATTTGACGATCTAGCTTATGTAGTTAAATTATTATTAGCTAACCTGCGGAAAATAACATTAATTTATTACTTTTACTACTACTAATCCACCATTCTAGCTTGGCTCTCTACTACCTGGCTATTCCTCACCCGTCTTGTTGGAGGCACTCCTCAGGTCATTCCCATCATCCATCTTATCCGCCGAGATGGAGAGTCACGCAGATTGGAGATCAATCGGCGGCATTGCTACTGGTCTGCTCGATGGAAATCCTATCGCTATCGCTATTACCGCATTTGTTGCATTCGGTCTGCCAATATTACTGCATCTGATTTTCTATCAAACCGTTGCCTCCCCGCCATCTAGCAACTTCTTACTGCTTGGACCCAGCGGAGCAGGCAAAACTGCTCTCTTGTCCCTGGTAAGCCTATTCAGCTTAATTGCCACGTCCACAAATCTATCAAAAGACCTATGGGTGGTGAAGACGGATGCTGATACGTTATCCTGTGACTTTGATAGCTTGAAGCGAAATCGTTGCCTCTTGCGAAGAAGCAGACTCAGCTCACGCATACTTCTCAAACCTCAATTCTAACAACTGTCAGCCTTCCCGCCTCCGTCCCTACTGCCTCAAATCGCTACCGGTCGGTCAATGATCCATCCTTGAAGGACGCATCCAGAAACCCTGTCAAATACCGTGTGAGAGATACACCTGGCCATGGCAAACTACGGGGACCTCACGGTATATCGCAACTTTCCTCCATGTCAGACTCGAAAGACTCGAAATCCAAATTACGTGGGGTCATCTTTACTGTTGACACCGCCGCTCTTTCTGATGTTGAAGTGTTGCGCGATACAGCCTCATATCTCTATGACGTCCTTCTTATTCTTCAAAAACGGGCATTGAATAAAGGCAAGTCGTCTCTTAAGGTAGCCTCGGAGATCCCGATCCTTGTGGCTGCCAATAAGCAAGACCTTTTCACGGCTCTGCCACCTGGCTCTGTGCTGGAGAAGTTAGAAGCTGAAATCGATAAAATACGCAAGTCCAAGAGCAAGAGCCTCATGGATGCCAGCGTTGATACTAGTATGGGTGACGGTGATGATGATATTCTAGGTAGCAGTGATGCGCAGGATACATTCAGCTTCAAACTCTTGGAGGACGAAGTCGGCGTGAGAGTTGATGTTGTCGGCGGCGCTGTTAAGGGTGAGGAGGGGAGTGACCTTGGGTCTGGTGTCAGGAAGTGGGAAGAGTGGGTTGGCCAGTGTCTGTGACCGAAGCTGCCGCCTTTGTTACGAATTTACAATATGTTCTCGACCTGAAATGCGCGAACGGTTTCTATGCTACATAAGTAAAGAACAAACTAGGCTAGCGCACCTGGATATTAATCTTAGGATGCTGCTATAATGATTTAGAAAATTGACTTGGAAACTAATATGACATCTAACCATCGACGATACGGGTTTCGTCTTATTCTTCGGGGCCTACAGCGTCTGCCGCTTTGGCCTCTATCCAATCCTGTGGGTAGATAAGACCACAAAGTAAGTAGTGATCTATCATGTGGGAAGGAACACTGAGCGAAATAGGAAGCATTCGTAATGGGGGAGAAGGCCAGGGCTTACCCAAAGATCACGAGCAAGTTTCATATCGCTAGCAATGGCAGTTGTCTTGTACGACTTTGCGATAGGAATGAAGTACTGACCATGGGTGCTGTCTGATATTACCTTTGGACTCGCGGCTAAATAAATTGCATTTGCAGCACCATCCTCCAAGCTCTGACCAATGATTGAGAATAGGCGCCTAAGGAGGGAACCCAGGGCTTTTCCGACATACTCATCCCAAACACTCCACTGATCGGTAACGATATTACCCGGGAAAAAGGCATTAACGTAAATCTTGCTACTTGCCGGATCCTCTTCTTGCATCAACCGAAGGCTTAGCTCCCTTGCGAAGAGTATATTCCCTAGTTTCGCGCGAGCATAACGCCACACACCGTCGATATATGCTGGCTTAGGGCGAGTGGGTGAGGTAAGAAGGTCGAGGTTGAGCTCACGGCAAAATGTGTGCATAGACGAACTAGCTACCGCAATCCGCCCATTGCTAGCCTTGCCCTGGGTGATAGTACGCTTCATGAGGGGCAGCAGATTGGTTGCCAACACCTGATGGCCAACGCAATTCGAAGCAAATACCTGTTCAATACCCTGCGGCGATCGTTTATACTCGGTTGATACACCAATGGCTTTTGCGGATGTTGGAATATCAACAAATAATCTGTTATATATAGGTGGGTATACAGAGCGACGGGGTAAGTTCCGTCGATTGGGGATGGGCCAAAGGAAGAGTGGAGGGTCCAGACGTACCGGCATTGCATATTATGATATCAAGCCTGTCAGTTCTGTGCTTGAGTTCATTGGCTGCATCCCTGGTAGCCACTATATCTGTGAGGTCGCATTGAATGAACTGGACTCTCGTATCACCTTTCCCCAGGGAACCACCAGTACGACGCTGCCATTCCTCCTGCGCTCGTAGATACTTATCATGGCTTCGGGCAAGCACGTAAACCCTCTGGATTCTATGCAGAAGGAGCTGCGCAGTTATTTCTAGATCGACACCCACAACTCTGGTTAGTGGATGCGGTGAAATACTGGAAAAGCTGTTGCTTGCCCTTTCCTATGCCCGCTTGACCACCCTGGGTAAGAAACTGGTCAGCGTTAAGCGCTGTGGGTCCCCCCCAGCCCAAAAACGAGCCAAGGGGGACAAAGTGAGTTTTATTTGTGTGGACTGATTTTCACACTTACCGTTACAACAGCCACTTTGTTAGCCAAGGAGGGGGTGTCATATAGGGAGAATTGCCGATAGGTAAAAAAGCCAGACATTTTACACGGCCGAGATGGGTGGCTGTGGAAAAACGAAAGCTAAATCCACAGTAATTATACCGGGTTCGATACCCATACGTCAGACATACATAGAGTCCGTGATTTTGCCATTGAGGTCACTATTCTATCACTACCAGGATACTCTACGAATCTCTAATGTTAACGTAAGATGGTTTTGGATATGCCTGGTTGGAATAGAGTCTGGTACTAAGCATCCTATATTCGTAAGATGTTTCCCCTCTATTCGTCGCATAAATGACACCACATCGATAGAATAGACGCTATACTTGGCGTGACGAAGCAAAGAAGGAAAAAACACAGAACATAAGAAAACGTAGCATTGACAATTTCCAGTCTCGGGCTTCAAGTATACTATTATGCATAGCTCGAGGAGACACTATATTATGCCGATTCGTCCTTATGATGAAGCATCCATGTAAGTAGATCGACCTTTGTTGCAACTGCCACTGGTCTCATCACTCCTTGTTCATCCCTCTCAGTAACGACCGCTGCACTGTTCCATTCGAAGAAGCGATTCAATACGCTGAGTGGTGTGTCCATAGTGATTTCCACAAATTTCCGGTCTTTAACCGGGGGCTCCGAGCTATTCGCTTTTTCTGGCGTGGAACTGGTCAATCCCATATCTCTCGGGTCAGTGACTACCTCGGAGATTTTACTGAAGTTGAACATAACATCTGACACAGGGCTCTTCCCAGTAGCACGTCCGTGGGTGAGCCGACTCAGAACGTTCCCTAGAGTTACTAGTCCCACGAGCTTCTTGCCAGAAGGTGCAAGCACTGGCAGTTGGTCGAATCCGCGATCTCGCATCATTTCGATGGCAGTTTCACAAGGGATATTGGACTGGACGGTTGTGATGGGCTTTAACCTCAGCGACCTGACCCTTGATCCAGCGAAGTCATCATTTTGTTCATGTGGCTGCAGTGTTGAGGGCAGGTCCGCAGCTTCGACCGGGGGGGATGTCAGGAGTCCATTAGCAGCAAGCCAGTCATCGTCAGCAAACTGATATTAGTTAGCGCAATAAGTTCTCAACCAAACAGTGGTAAGTTCAATGACCTTAGTTAAATAGCTTCTGATGCTGTCAGGCAAAATGACAACAATTACATCATCCTTCCCGAAGTTGTAGTCCTTTGCCGCTTGCGCCAGAGCTGATATGGCGCTCCCACTGCTTCCTCCTACAAGGAGGCCCTCTTCAGCAATTAACCGCCGAGAGTACTGGAATGAATCTTTATCTCCAGTTTTGTACCACTGGTCCACGGCCTGCTGGTCGAGCACTTGGGGAATGAAATCATACCCAATTCCTTCGACCTTGTATGGTTCGTTTACATGGTCTTCGTTTAGTGAAGGCGGCAAAGCTAAGATGGAACCATGAGGGTCAGCTGCAATAACCTTGATATCGGGGTTATGCTTCTTCAGGCCCCGAGACAGTCCAGTGATTGTTCCACCAGTTCCTGCGCCGGCGACAATGGCCTTGATTTGGCCCTTGGTCTGTGTCCAGACTTCTTCCGCTGTACCCAATTCGTGGGCCAGCGGGTTATTTTCGTTACCATATTGGTCCAGGATATGCGCGTTCGGGAGTTCCTTCTCAAGACGCTTGGCGACACCGATGTGAGATTCCGGTGAATCGTACGCAGCTTCATTAGGAGTTCGGATGATGGTTGCATTCAACGCTTTCAGTACGGCTACCTTCTCAGCTGACATCTTCTCCGGGAGAGTAATTATGGTCTTGTATCCTGCCATAAGCCACAGAGAGAGTTAACAATCTGGCATGTATCATTCAGCAGACGATGGCCTACCCTTTACAGCGCCGACGAGCGCCAAACCAATTCCACTGATTTAGCTATTAGCAAAAGATATTATGTAGGAAACAAACAAGCTTGGTGATAGACCTACGTGTTACCGCTAGTGGGTTCGATGAGAGTATCACCAGGTTTTATGCGCCCCGATCGTTCAGCCTCTTCGATCATGCGCAGAGCAATCCTATCTTTCACACTTCCTCCGGCATTGAAGTATTCCAATTTCGCATAGACAGTTGCCTCAATCCCAAGGCTACGTGGAAGTCTATTTAAGCGTACGAGGGGCGTGTTGCCAATGTGCTGAGTGATTGATTCAAGAGCCACCGGAGGAATGGCTGGCGTTGTAATGCAAGACATTTTGGTGGGGATTTGGACAATGTCTAGCAATCGAATTCAGGCCAAAGGGAAAGGAAGAAAACAAAAAGAAGGGAAGAGAAGTAAAGGGAGGCAAAAAAGAGGAAGGAAAAAGAGGAAAAAAATTGGGGAAAGGTTCAACAAGGAGAAAGAAAAAATCTCGTAAGATGTTACACACCCCGCCCGAAGGTAACCGTTGCCGCCACATTTAAGACAGTACGTAGAAGTCGTTCTCATATGATATGCTATTGGTAGCATTGTTTCTCTACATACGTTGTTGATATAGTGTATTATAGACAAATCCATGGATGTATCTTGTGGTGTGAGTAGTACGTCGCATATATAGCAGTGGCATTTTATGTGTACGTACTAGTTGTCTTGTTTTGATCTCCTTTGCCCCTCCTAGGTAGATTTCTATCTGTCCAGTGTGACCAATCGTGATTCGTTACCAACCACATGCTTGTTTAGAAGGTTAAAATTAAGCTTGGTCCAGACCATCCTTCCTTTTATCAATCTAACTTGGTAGAATCTAGACGAATAGTTATATTATTCACACATCCATATATGTGGCAGTTTCCAATCCTTTGAATCAACCCTATGCTGCACATTATTGGATAAAGAAAGAAGACATTACACTCCTAGATGTTTGTTAAGTTGCCTACATGACATGCCACTTAGAGTTAGTATAAAATTAGAGATTGCGGATTTTCCTTGCTGCTTGAATTAGGCTCAGTACGGATCAATCTCCATCACCCGCTCCTTATTTTCTCTTTTTTTTGTTTTGTTTGGTTGTGTTTTGTTTTCTTCTCTCTCTCTCTTTTTTTTTTGGTGGGGTGGGTTAAGGTAAATTTTGGGCCTTCTGAGTTAATCAACTTTGTAAAGCCAGTACTAAGCACACAATACACTGCATACGTGGCTGTGTATCAGAAATTATGGGTGGAGTAACTGCTCCTCACCCAATGGATAGATTTGTTTGTCTCCATTTCTCCATAAGGGATTTATCCTCCACTAGGTCTGGCTCCATGACAACTCAAACTTCAAATAAGGGAACTCTCTTTGTACATGCAATCTGCTGTCTATCTCAAGTAAATTCTAAATTAAATCTGTCACTTGAGTGTCCTCAAGTACCTGAGAATCAATTATTCTCTTTCTACATCAGCATGAACGACTCCGTAATACGTGGTCGACTTAGGTATACAATTAGTTCAGCTGCAACGGGGCGGCTCAAGTGGTTACAGACCCTCTGAGAGCCACTAAATCTCATCCAGTGATTCGATAGCATGTATACGCATTGGCGTGCCAAGAAAGGCCTCACCACATCAATCACCGATCCATCGTCTGCGCCTCCTTCGGTAGATACTAGTTTCAGGGGGCTCTGGATTTGGTTGAATTGAAAATTCTGGAGAGTTTTAACTACGTCTTACCAAGCTGGTCAAGCACCGTAGGGTTGAGTGACACCAAATCTTCTTTTTGTCCACCAAATCTTAATTTACTTATTCTCTCCTCTTCTTTCCTTGGCCACGGAGTTTTGATGGCATCCCACCACATCGACTCTTAAAAAGGGAAAGAAGAAAAAGAATTGAAGAAGCACGGCTCCATAAACCTTAAAACAATCCTCTGTTTGGTGCTGAGGGTGCAACCAACACCAGTGTTTGTTTTCTTCTAATTTACTATCCCATCTCTCACCCGTTGAGTTTCCTCTCCACTTTTTGTTCCAAGAGCATCTATTAAACATGCTATAATATATCATTTTTCTGGACGTGTTTGTGCCTCTTTGTCTCAATAACCCTTCCATTTATCTTTCTTCTTCTCCTTTTCGTTTCCTTTCCTGCGGCATCTTTGTTGGCCACATCTCAAAAGGCCCAAAAGGCCCAAACAGCCCAACAGCTACGCAACAGTTATCATATTTCTTATTTCTGAAACAAGCAGTTAACACTCTGGGTGATCATGGATAGCATAGAGAAATTGCCCGCTACACAAGGAGAGGGACAGGGCAACGAAGGGTTGAGAATCGCTCAGCCGACGGGCTCACACGATGGTTCCCTACTCCCCACACATAACGAGAAGGCTTCCCTTCGCCGCAATAGACTGTTCCGTATAGATACAGCTGGTGAGAGCGGTCGAAGCGGAATTCATCCAATTCACTTCTTCCGGGTGTGCTTGAAGAGTACTTGTACCCTGTCAATGCTGGTAAATGTTCTCTGGCCGTTTGTTCCAGCGGCTATCGTCATCCACTTTGCTCGGCCCGATCTTCATGTCTGGATCTTTGCCCTCAATTATATTGCAATGGTTCCCTCGGCAAACTTGCTTGGGTTCGCAGGAGGGGAGCTCGCGAAGAAGTTACCCAAGGTTTTCGGGGTTCTGTTGGAGACAACGTTGAGCTCGGTGGTAGAAATTGTCCTTTTTATGGTTCTGATACATAATGACAATAACGGCAACCTGATTCCTGTCATTCAGGCAGCGATCCTCGGTTCTGTGTTGGCAAATCTTTTGCTTTGTCTAGGCCTGTGCTTTTTCTTTGGAGGCATGGGGCGTGAGCACCAGTCGTTCCATGAGGCCGTGAGCGAGGTGGGCACGGGGCTCCTCCTGGTTGCCGGCTTCGGTCTGTTGATTCCGAGTGCTTTCTTTTCGGCGCTAAGCGCTAACAGCTCTAAAACAACTATTACCAATGAAGTCCTGTCTCATTCTACTTTGGTGATTAGCAGGGCCACTGCCGTTATCCTTCTGGTCGCTTTTCTGATGTGAGTTCGCATAGTCAAACGTCGTGGCATACCACCTTACTCACTTCCGTTCTCAGGTACCTGGTTTACAACCTACATAGCCATCACAGCATATTTGACGAGGTCCTTGAACTAGATGAACATAAGGATGAAGATCGGGAAGAGGAAATGAAGCGCGCAAAGCTTACGCTAGTCGAATGCTTCGTGGCCATCTCAGTATCTATCGCATGTGTCTGCATGTCTGCCGTTTTCTTGGTCCAGGAAATCGAACATATTGTCCATGAAAGAGGCGTTTCCGATAATTTCATGGGTCTAATTCTTGTTCCCCTGGTAGAGAAAGCAGCAGAGCATTTGACTGCTATTGATGAAGCCTGGTAAGTGCAATACTACACTCAAATATTATCAAGGGTGAGGTCATCATCGCCTGACTCTTCGCAGGGACAACCAAATTAACTTTGCACTCTTCCACTGTCTCGGTCCATCTATCCAGACCGCTTTGCTAAATGCTCCACTGGCGGTCCTCGTCGGCTGGGGACTTGGTAAGGAAATGGGTCTCAATTTTGAGATCTTTATGATTGTCTTGGTAGTATTATCCATTCTCGTCGTTGGAAACTTCTTGCGGGACGGCAAGTCCAACTGGCTCGAGGGAGGTCTCTGTGTGCTTATATATGTGATCATTGCGGTCACTACATGGTATTACCCCCAAATTGAGCCCGAGGGAGCATCCATCCACCATGAGGCATGACCGTGCACATTTTCATAATGGACTAAACCTCCTTGCAATTCTTAGTGGGAAGTAATTTATCTGGAGTGAGGAAGTGCTGCGCATCTTCTACGGGTACGGGTCATCTTTATATCGCACAAATTATATAGATGCAACACTAAATAATAATAGACGATAAGATATTAGGGTTATTCTGCGAGTGGCCAGTTGAAGGTACCTCAAACTTACGTAGCTGGTCATATATTAGAAGTTGGATAGATCATTTAGTTAATCCATGCCGACAAATTAAAAAGCGGTGACGGCACCCCGACGTCTCTCTACCCAGACAACAGATTAACACACCAAACCCAAAAATGAGTCAGTTAAACGACCAAACGAATATTCTGATTATCGCCTTAAAGGATCGTGATATTCCATTGAAATATGCCGAGGTTGAATCAGCTTTCACTGATGGGAAAGAAGCTGCCGTGAACGAAAAATGGGTGATGGAGCACCTGAACCATGATACTCTTCTATCCCAAGAGGAGCTCACCTTGTGTGTGCGCAGACTTCCTTTAACAACCTTCCGTATAGTCAAATGTTAACATGCAAAGTATTGACTATACAAATAGGTATACAAAACTCGAAAGCACCGGCTCTTTACAGAATATAATTGACAACCCCGATACGAATGCGGACCGACCGTTGCTCGATGAAGATATTCGGAAGGCGATTGACTCGTTGAAAGCTTCAACCGCTATGATCCAAAAACAAAAACAGATTTTAGCATCCCAATGCGACAGTATAGATAAAGAGCTTCGCCGAAAAAGCGAACGAGAAGTCAGACGCAGCACCGGTATAGAACACCTGCGTCAGAGATACAAATCAGAAAGGCAAAGCACGAATGCCGTGGTAGTGATCGCCCTCGATCTTAAACCAAGATGCTTAGCTGATTTATATGCTTGTAGTCTATTGAATTGGCTCAGGAAGTGACAGCGGCCTTGAAAATCGAATCAGAGAACACAGCAGTGGATAGTAAAAGGATATTGTCAACTCTCGCTGCTTGGCTAAAGGAGGACGATAGAACACTAGTGGACCTAGAGCGGCTTGGATCTGGTATGGGGTCTACTGGAGATGATGCCTCTGTAGTAAAACGGACCTCCGAGATAAGCACGATACTCGCCGATTGTCTTGCCGAAGAAATACGATGTCGGCTCGATCGAGTTTACTTGGAGAACCTCCGAGACGGTCAATTAAAGGCCAATCAGAACCTTAACGGTGCTGCGGATGAAGTTATGGTCGCATTGGAAGGAGAACTGGAGTCCCTGTATCCGGAGATTGACATGCTGGCTGAAATGTATGCCAAGCAACAATACACCGCGCCTATATCACGCGCTCTCCAAAACCACCACGACCAGTGGCACATTGCTTCCCACAAGAAACTCAACTATGTAAGTCAACCATCGACCACGTTTACATTGGCTAACCAGGTATAGATCTTAGACCTGGTCGCTGTGATGACGTTATCTACGGAACGTCTCACCAAATCCCTGCAAGATCGCGAGTCGTTCTGTGGGACTCTCGAAACTTTCAATACCACGTATCGAACCAAAGTAGGTAATCGGTTTTCTGAAATATCTGTACCAAGACGAGAGGATATTATAAGACGTTCGATCCTACCAACGTTGGCATACACGCCTTCCGCGAAACGCATCGATTCGGTTTCCGAGTCCCATGCCCTGGCCGCTGTCTTGCGCCGCACAGGCTTATCTTCCGAGTCGGTGTTCCAGCCTGAAGAAGGTAATGTGGGCATCGATGTGCTTTTTGACGCGAAACATCACATGTTCGATTGTCTGCAGAATTATGGCATTGCCGCAGATGCGCCTCTGGTGACCGAAATGATCTCGGGTGATCAGGCAACCCGGCTTCTTTCGTCCTCGTTAAACGTCAATTCACACGTTCAGACTTTACTCACGAGTGATATCCATGAGGCCGAGCTCTCTGACCTTCAACTAAAATTAGAGCATGTACAAAAAGGGGTTGAAATGCTCGACCTTGGCATAGTATTTCAACGTGACAAAAGCCAAGAGACGTTCTTTGAAAGGTGGGGGTTGACATAAAGCATCCAGTGTTTGACCACGACCTCGAATAGGAAACTTGTATGGTAATGACTACGAGATGAAAAGGAAGCTTGCAGAGTCTTGCAGGTGTTAATCAACTACGTAGTGGCTGTCTTTGGCTTGTCCCTTTCTTGTTCCTTTAAATTATTTTTTTTATTATTTTCTCTCTTTCTGTTTTAAAGAAAAGACCGAATGAAAGAAAATAAATAAACTAGCAAAAGATTGTGAATCTTCATTCCCCTGGGTTTAGTTATTCGTTATTGATGGATAATGGACAGCGCCTCTCCCTGTGGCGGGTAATAGGGAGATTTATGATATAGTCCTGTGCCACATAGTTATATCACGCGGCTATTGTCCAGATGGTATATTGAAGGCTAGTATTCCATAGAATACTTTGATGGGTGCCCTAGATGCCCGTGAATTCACTACTAGTAGCTAGGAAATCAATCCTGCAAGTCATGCATACGTGTTGCCGCAGCCCATGTATTTTGAGTCCTCCCATATCGGCAACCCATCACAAAGGAATGAAGAAGGACAGAAGAGAGCTTCATCCCCAACTAACTTGTGTGATGTAATCTCTTCCGTTGACGATATTTCCCTTCTTCTACTCATGACGGGATTATTGTTGTCTTTGCCTTTTTGCTTTTCTCTGCCTTACCTGCCCACCTGACTTGTAGTATGTCCTGTGACTGCTAACCAGACGCACCTGCGATGGCCACAATGACCACTATGAAGTCCGCTGCCTCATTCTTACCCCGTTACATAGTGTTGATATAGGAACTTTTAGCAAATGCAGCCGCGATTGATAGATATATTAGGCTGCAAGATATTACTACAAGGCTCTTTATATCCACAATTTGGCAGTAGCATTGCCTTAATAATGGCACTGATTCCATCCTTATGTCCCAGTATGAAGTGTCTCGTTCACCTCTCCTTATGATTTCGACCACGGGTAGTGTTCTCTCTTCTTTGTTAACTTGTGATGTTTCGTGGGCGACGAGAAAGGGGCACTGCTCATCGTTTTATCTATACAAAGACCTCAGAAAGTCAGCGCCCTTTATACATATTTATATTTATCATTCCTCCTTATCCCCCTCTTTGCTTCCCAAAATGAAATACGCCCAATAATCAGGAGCGCAGAACCCATGACTCTGGTCACTGATCTCTTGTCCATGGGTTGCTTGTTCATATCCTCCTAATCAGCACCAATGATATGCAGCATCTGTTTCTTTTTCTCGCCTGTCCTTTGTCTCAGGAGATTGTTTATTTATTATAGTAGCCCTTTATGCTCAGAGGGCGTTAGGGTCATTATACTTAACATTCCTAGCTTATCTAAAACCAGCAGTTGCTCCGCTGCCCTCCAACACTCCATATCCCATTCTGTGGCCATCTTCGAGCCCTTTAGCTATCTCAAAATACCAAGGCGCGTTTTGCTAAAAGATTGATATGCTTGTCCGATGGAAGTTCGAACCAAAAAGTTCATTCGGACCCGCGTCTTTGGCACAGGCACTTGCAGCCACCCTCTAAGACGGAGCCCTGCGGTTCTCTATCTTCGAAATGCCCAGCCGAAGAGTCCACTCATGATGGATCCAACTCGATACACAACCATCGAGCCGAGAAAGCCAAGGCAGGCAAAAGTGTCCTCGAATACTTTCATAAGAACATCATCGCCAATGCGAAGCCGGCCGCTAAGATTTCGCTTTCCGTTTCTTGATAGGACTGCAGAATCAGATCAAGATTCAGAAGCTGAATCGGAAGTGGAGTGGGAATCAAGCTCTGATGAAGTTAGCATAGACTCAGATAGAGGAAGTCTATGTAGGCCAAGAGGGCGCCATCGATCCCGCGAGATGCTCGTTGTCGGAAAGACTGAAAATGAAAGGCGCGCACAGCGAAGGGCTCTGTGGTCCCCTCCTCCAAAGAAACGATTAATCCGGTCCCCGACTAGGGACCGTTTTGGATCGGACATTGTAGCAGATGGGGCTGATGTCTCTCCTCACTACCCTCGATCATGGCGGACGTCCGGAGGCTCTCGCGAACCGAGGGACATGAAGCTGATCTCTGAGCACGAGCACCCTAGACGGGAGGCCAGTATCCTTGAAATCCATAATCATCATCGCAACAGTCCCTGTGAAGAGCGGGCCCGCAGTCCGGACCACCGAAAGGTGCGTTTCGCGCGCGACGTAGAGTACGTGAAGAACACCAACAGGGCCAGAGAGACTAGAGACAGAGAACGAGAGCGTCACCACGTTCGATCCTATCGCCACAGCCCCCCCGTCAGTGGCCCCAACAGGGACTATGGCACAGCGGATAGTGGTACAACCTACCGCCTTAGTTCACTGGAAAGGCCGTTCAAGGAACGTTGTCGAAGAATAAGTGCATCTAGCGAGCGTACTCAGCCTCATATTATCCATGTTGGTAACCGTCGAATGTCAGAAGCAGCGGAGCGCATACGCAAAGAAGCGTGGAGGAGACATAGCCGGGAGGGTTTACTGCGCGATATGAAGTCACAAAGTGGCTGGCTCCGCTATACCCGGCGACCTGACGAGCGGATAATTTACGATAGAGGCAGCCGACAATACGGCTGTCATTGACGAGGGTTATTTTTATCTTTATCCCACGGCAGGGCGCGTTGGACGGGTTGCAGACAGTATGTTGCATGGCATCAGTGGTCTGGAATTGTCTGGATATTCAATTAATGAGAGGTTTTCCTTGACATTTGGGTTTGGCGGGCGGCAGGTTTCCCAATGGTAGTATTTTTTAGGTCGTTGAACTATGGCAGCTCGCGTGTCCATCAATCTAATTACACTGTTGGTAAATAATTTTGGTCACTTTTTTATCATTCCGCGCAGTTAAATATGCCTTGCAAGTTTCAGTTTCACCTCGAAGCTTGGGGCTGCGGTCTATATCAACCCAGAATGTCCAAGATCGAGGGACAGCCGGTTATCATGTGATTCCTTAAACTTAATTAATCCTGGTCCTGGGATGTACTCCGTACTCCGTACGTATCAGTCAAAATCCCTCATTCTGCACCACAGGTCTCCCTTAGCCAGATGCTTCGATCACTTCAAAGGTTTAGAATACACGTGCAGTCGTGAAATAAACCCGGAATGAACTGAACAACTGAACTCCCACAACAAGGAAATTGCCCATGCATTGACCAAAGCCCTGTGGATGGGTTTGTTATGTTAATTTTTCACGCCTATACATGAGTTTTGTTTATCATACCCCACCTACGTGGCTTGAATATAGGCACTCGGTCTTACCCCTCCTCCCTTCAAGTTGTTTCCCTAGACACCTACGTGCCATCTCTTTACAACTCAACTCAACCCAGTGCCGGCATAGTAATGTTTGTACCCTGGGCTTAGTCCCACAATGCCATGCCCATCCGACTGCTTGGTATACACCTGTAGGCTAGGTGTATCACTCCGCGTTACTACATCCATCCCATCAAAAGTCTACAGCTTGTCGCAATGACGGGGTACAGCTCCGAGGGTGGAGCAATTCATGATCCGCAGTCGGACGTAGTTTCTCGGTGGACACAGTCCGATCTGGGACCCGCGAGAGAGGATAAGGAAGGTGCCTTGAAGAGCGAAGATATCGATCAAATGCCGCCAGCTTCAGCATTGGGACTGCTCTGCGTTTATATCGAACTGCTTGCTAAGCAGACCATTGACGACCTGGACGACTGTCGGGTAGATGCTATTCCCCTAGCCAAGGACAGGGCTCAAGGTGATAGCGTGTCCAGTGGGGAAGCCACCCCCGTAAGCGGTACTGAGATACATTGTTGCCCTGCAGGCTATAATGATGCGGGACGCGATCTTATCCAACTGGGCATACTTTCTAAGAGGTTTCTCTCAAAGCGCGTGCCTTCGATCGCATTAAAGGACTACCTCCTGCGGCTTCATCGTTACTGCCCAATGTCAACGGCCGTCTATCTTGCTACAAGCATGTATCTTACCCGAATGGTTACTGTCGAAAGAACTATATCACTGAACCATAGAAACATGCATCGTCTGGTCCTTGCTGGTCTTCGAGTAGCGATGAAAGCGCTGGAAGATCTTAGTTATCCTCATAGTCGCATTGCGAAGGTTGGCGGAGTGACCGAACGCGAACTTTCGAAGCTCGAGATTAGCTTTTGCTTTCTGGCTGATTTTGAATTGCGAGTTGATGTTTCTATGCTCACCAATCAGGCAAGGGCTCTTGAAAAGAATGTCGGCTACTACGGTGATATTGCCAGTTAGTATACTAATGCTACCAGCTCCGTGCATGAATTTGCTGTTATTGTATGTAGACCGATGGCTTTCGAGATATCCATGGGATCCATGTTGTATGGTTAGCCTATCCAAATACTGCCCCGGTAGCATCACAATGCGGTTGCCTAATTCAATCAATATCTTTTATTTCCCACCAACTCTTATGGCTGAGTAATTCGGTTTTGTTATAATTAATGGGATTCAAAAGCAGATACGCACAGTCCTAGACCGTTTATCGATGGACAGAGAAAAGTTATTTCCAAGTATTCCTGAGAATCAAAAATATTGACAGTCGAGCAAATAAAAGCATTAATTACTTTTGAACTCCGTACTCCGCGAGCCAGTGATTTGTTAGTGTCCGCGGAGAGTTTTCCCCGACCAAAGAAAAAGAAGCAGCCTCACCCTTCACGTCTCTAGTATATTCTTTCTCGTTTTCTTTTTTGTCTCCTTGTCAAAACCTCCGGTATTTGCATCACAGATTGCCGCATATCCCTGGGCAGTTTTATCAATTAATAGACTGTTTATTTGTTTTGATTCAGCAATGCTTCTTTAGATTGTGTGGAGAGAGAACCAGTCACCGCCGAACGAGTTTCCCCGTGCAACAAATTAGTTTGTCACGCTTTCTTCCACCTCCAAGGACCATTACAGGCGCCCCCCCTCTTGAAACGATCTTCCGGGGATTGTAAACAGAAATGTCCTCCGGGAATTCTTCGACAGGAACACACACCAACGGCTATTTTGCAACCCTGGGTTCGAGTCCACCCTCCGCATTCGGCGGCAAAGGCCGAGCCATCCCTCCAAAGGTTACCCAGGAAGATGCCAGTGTTGAGCTTAAGACAATGAACTCAGAGCGTGGAGCTACCAGGGGATCAATCCCCCTTGGTGAAGATATCATGCAGATTGCCCGGATAGGGGAGGTTTCTGCTATGCAAAGATTATTCGACGAGAAGAAGTTCAGCGCCAATCATAAGGATGAGGAAGGGATCACCCCATTACATGTGCGTAACTCGATCGACTTTGGTGCCTTTCATGCATGTGGTATCAGCGTTTAGAACATTTACTGACCTAATGGCTCTTCTTCTAGTGGGCTGCGATCAACAACCAGTACGCCATGTGCAAGTTCTTACTAGACTCCGGTGCCGACGTCAATGCAAAAGGAGGCGAATCTGTAGCTACACCAGCGATGTGGGCAGCCCAACGGTGTCATTACTATATCGTCCACCTTCTGCTTCAACAGGGCGCCGACCCTCTCCTTACCGATGTCCAAGGCTACAACATTCTTCACCTGGCTACTATCGACGGAAATGCCTTCTTACTGGTGCTACTTCTGCACCAAGAAATACCGGTGGATGTCGTCGACCAACAAGGACATACTGGCTTGATGTGGGCCGCTTACAAAGGGTATCCTGCCTTGGTAGATTTATTCCTGCGATGGGGCGCGAATGCCAATGCTGTCGATGAGAGCGGGCTTACTCCCCTCCATTGGGCCCTCGTGAAAGGGTCCTTACCCTGTGTTCTAAAATTGATCGAGTATGGCGCGGATAAGTTTGCAAAGACCAGGGATGGTAAAACGCCGGCAGTAGTGGCCGGGGAGATGAATACCACGCGCGTGTGGTATCGTGCGTTGGATGAATATGGTTATGACTTCGATGGGAATGTGAAGGTTTCCTCTTCTGGACTGACTTCTTGGGTACGTAACAAGAGCTTAATGTCCAAGTTCTTTTTCCTCTGGCCTTTCGCCATTGTTTTCGCGGCCGTGTGGATACTGAGCAGTATGGTCGTCTACGCTGCTCTTCCAATGATGCTTGTGACCGTCTTCGGGCTACAGTGGATAGCGCAGAAGGCCGCCAGCCAAGGTCCTTCCGAATATCGGATTCTGCAAAAAACGGTAAGTTTGGGCTGCCTCAAAGGCTATTGTGCTGTTGTTGATTTGCAATTTAGCCTTATTTATCCGGCGTTTTTGCAGGCTCCCTATTTTGGGTGGGCTTCAGATACGTCTTTTACGTACTGCCGGGTAGGTCTTGTTTTAGGAACTCTCGGTTATCCTGTGAGGAGTCTTACTAAACATTAATGGATTTCTAGTGACCTACTCTACATCTCCCATACTTAATGGGCTTTTTGCTATATTTTTCCTCCTGACAACTTATTTCTACATATACTCAATGGTTGAAGACCCTGGGTTCGTTCCAAAGCTTGACAGTAGAAACCAACAAAAAGCAGTCATTACGGAGCTCTTCGATCAGTGGAAGTTTGACGAAGAAAATTTCTGTGTTAGTTGCATGGTCCGAAGACCCTTGCGGAGCAAGCATTGCAAACGCTGTGCGCGCTGCGTTGCGAAACATGACCAGTGAGTATTTACTTGGCCGCCTGTGCAAGCCACGTGCTAAACCCAAACAGCCATTGTCCCTGGATTGATAACTGCGTCGGGGCCAATAACCTGCGCCATTTCGTTCTATATATTACCTGCTTGGAGGTTGGTATTGTCCTTTTCGTGCAGCTAACCTTTAATTGTAAGTTTCCACTTGCCTCTTCATTCGGATAAGCAACCTAACCAGAATTGTTAGATATCAACAGCTTGCCAGCCCCCGCGCAGCCCCAGTGTAACATCATTAACGAATCTCTTTGTGACTTTGTACTCCGTGATACGTTTACTCTTGTTCTCGACCTATGGGTATGCATTCAGCTGGTCTGGGTCACCATGCTCGTTGCTGTCCAGATGGTCCAAATTTCTCGTAATCAGACGACATATGAGAACATGAGAGGACACTCGGTTGACCGAAGCTATCCTAGCTCACGGGCTTTTGCCTCTGCAGTAGCGGCTGGGACAACGTCCCTCAATGCTGCCGGCCTAACGTCTTCTGGCCAAGGTCCAAATCCCGCCCTTGCCCGGGGTGCTCCTCGCCATCGGAAACATGGTTGTTTGCAGCAATGGTCATCTCTTCTTGGTATAGATACATTCTTTGCTACTGCGCGAGATGGGCTACGTGACGGCCCACGTGCTGTCCGACCCAAAAATCCGTTCTCGCGGGGCGTTGTCACTAATTGTCGAGATTTCTGGTGTGACCCAGCTCCGTACTTTGGAAAACGAGAACCAGGCGCGGCTATGCTCGGTGGTGAAGTGATCAACTACAACCGCATGTATGAGACTCCGTCCCGGATGCATAGTGGTGGTGGGTACCGCAGTGTAGCAGTTGAAGACCCGGAACAAGGTGTCTAAGCATGAGTTTTCGTTGGTGGATGGCCAGATCCTAGTATGTGTTCCTGCGACCGGTTCTAGAAGCACTGCATTCTTCAAGCGCAAGTATTATGATTTTGGACGACACTGCATTGATACGCCTGGTTGGGTCAAATGTTCATGGAGGGTGTACCTATTTACTCCTTTACTTTCCTTGTATTATGTTGTGCTTAACTATTTCATGTCGTGCTTTCCGTTATAGAGACTTTGCTGAGCCGAGCCGAGCCAGCTTCTATTTAATCTGCTCCCGTTAAGAATAAATCCTATCCGGTTTCCTTTGATATTGGTGCGAGCTGTGTAACAGAAAAATCAATTTGCGTTGAAACATCTTAACGTACTGCTTATGATAGCGTCCGGTTGGTTTAGGACGAGGTCAATTACTTAAGCGGACGGGTCTGTTGATTTTACTCTGTAGTGTAAGCAATACAACTGTGAACAGCTCAGCGTTGAAGCAAACAACTTATAATACTTATAACTGATATACTTGCGCAAAGTTCACCACAGCCTAGACTGTTCTCATATCAACCTAAGGGCTAAGGGATAACAGAGCAGACATAACTCTTTAAACCCATGGTTAGGGCCAGATGCCAATATTTATGCACGTCATGGCAAAACGGGGAGACGTGAATACTGGAGGAGGGAGTCTGGTCCAGTATAGTTCATTCAATTGTGCACGGGTGAGAGCCACAAATCTAGGACAGACTACTACTAGTACGCAGGTACGCAGGTCTGCAGCTTTTCCTCGTAGAGAGCCACGTTCCTCGGCGCAATTCAACGAGGATAGATTAACATTTACCTATATAATCAAGGGCCCTCCTATTCAATCTATTGCCTGCAGCACAAGTGCGATCGATCGGTTATTACAACCGCTCTCACCTCCATCAACTGCCACCCTACCGACAATCCGAAGCTGATGCATGGTTAAAACGCCCAAGTGGTCTACCATTGGTCAGGGAGAATCATCCTTGATCAATCCCGGATAGGTTAAGTTCCATACCTAGGTTCATTTCAACCATACCCGTCTGTAACGTATACATACCATACTTATATACACGGAGCCGAAACATCCGATGTCGCAAGAAAACCCAGCTTTAGCGCAAAGTCAATTTGTCGCACTAAGATCTTATCTCGGAAGGAGGTTCTAAAACAGAAATTTTTATCTGATTCCCACTGTTCTTCGGTTGTCATTACTTGAAATAACGGTTACCAGTCCGCGAGGAAATCCTGGGTCTGGCTTGCTGCTCGCTTAGATTGATTAGATGAAGTTTCATGCTTATATTGTCTTATCTGATGCGCTTTATCCATGGTTGGAAGTATGATCCAGAACCAAGTACGACGGCCGTGTAATCGACTCGCCTGAAACATCACTATCAGCCTTACTACTCCTCCGTAGCGCAGTCCCTGACCGTACCTGACATTACTGTGCCTATGATCATCCTTGTCGAAGTTGTAGATGGGCTGGTCTGGAATATGCGCATACTCCGTAGCTACTAGTCAACCACGCAGCCAAGGAGCTAGCCATTTACCGGGTCGCAACCAAGCGAGACCTGCAACAAAACAAGCGGAAGGGGAAGAAGTGAAGAAGGATGAGCCTAAAAAATAATAATAATAATAATAATAATCAAGGTAAGAGGGGAAATGATTAAACTCAAATGAATAGATAAAAAATAATACACACACACACACACACACAGAGAGAGAGAGAGAGAGAGAGAGAGAGAGAGAAAGACAGTCCCCTTCCCCAGAGTGAAACATAATGCCGGAAATTCTGGTCTATAACGAGGATGTGATCGGCGTTGTCACTTTGGGCCGACTTTGTCCATGTACACCTCCGTTTCATACTGTATAGAAAAATGTGATCATCATCGGAATATCTGAGACAGGTGATGTTCTCCGAGGCAGATGTGGGTGGCATGATGATGTGTAAAATTCCTCACATTTCCATAAACGATCGAATGATTGAGTAATTTAGTTCCAGGTCG